TTATTTTATTTTATTTTATTTTATTTTATTTTATTTTATTTTATTTTGAGACTGGGTCCAACACAAACTCTTAACAACTCAACCCTCTATAGAGAAGTGAAAGTTAAAACTAGGAAAGAAGGCGCACACCATAGCCAGCCAGCCTTTAATGATTGCAAAAGACTTGAACGTTCTTCTGTACGCAGTTGGAAACGACACGTGCTTTTGAGCACAGAAGTGATTCAGAGATCACAGTGACACAGCAGAAAGGTTACTTAGAAGGCAGGGCAGAGCGTAGTGGCTGGAGGCTGTCAGCATTGTCCAGGTGAAAGGTGCTAAGGCCCAGCCTAGCAGCAAAGATGGTGAGAATTTTCAGAAGTGGGGTTGCAAAATAAAAGGCCTAACTGACCATGGACACCAAGATGTCACCGGGATGTCACCGAGCAAATAACAACCAGAAATGTGGTGAGGTTGTCCCATGGGCACTGGAAGTTGGCTACTACAATTGAAACTGTTGGGTTGGTCCACGTCGGAAGATCCACACAGAATTAATGACCTGTAGGTGAGGTCAAGATCAAACTGCAGAATTGAATTGACAACCAAATCTATAAATGCAAATGAGGTCAGGATGAATGGATAGCAAAGCAGCCCCAAGGAGAATCCTCCCTTTTCAAGACAGGGTTTCTCTGTAGCTTTGGTGCCTGTTCTGGAACTAGCTCTTGTAGACCAGGCTGGCCTCAAACTCCACCTGCCTCTGCCTCCCGAGTGTAGGGATTAAAATCGAGCACCACCACCAACCGGCTGATTTTTCTCATTCTTGTTCCCACTCCAAGCTCTTTGGCAGCCTAAGTAGGTACCCTCCCCAAAACAGAGCACCCCACCATTAGACAGATGTAGATATCTCCCCCTCTGCCCTTTATCCTCCAACACTGACAGTCTTATCCTTCCTCCAATCCCTAGGGACACACTCAAGACACCAACACTTACTTTATATGCCGGACACTGCGCTCGCTGGGGGTCCAGGTTTGCCGAGTCTCTGTTGTACCTGATGAGGTAGCCACCATCGCAGCTGAGGTCACCTCATTCTCCAGCCGCTTCACTCATGTCCTCACTGCGGGGGGCATCGGCCCCACTCATGACGATGTAACATTTGAGGCAGTGGCACAGGCCTTTGGGGAGGAGCTCAAACCACACCCTGAACTCCAAGCAGCCATCAAAACCCTAGGAGGGGAGGGTTGGGAGAAGCTGTCGATGGTGCCCTCCTCTGCCCGCCTGCATTACGGCACGGATCCTCGCACTGGCCAGCCCTTCAGGTTCCCGCTGGTCTCTGTCCGAAATGTCTACCTCTTCCCAGGGATTCCGGAGCTGCTGCGGCGAGCGTTGGAGGGACTGAAAGGACTGTTCCAAAACACAGCTGTGCAATTCCACGTGAAGGAGTTGTATGTGGCTGCTTCCGAGGGCTCCATCGCCCCAATCCTCACTGAGGCCCAGGCCCACTTTGGTCGTAAGCTTAGCCTGGGCTCCTACCCTGATTGGGGCAGCAACTACTATCAGGTGAAGCTGATTCTAGACTCCGAAGAGAAAGAACCCTTGGAGGAATGTCTGGCCTATCTCACTGCACATCTGCCTCAGGGATCATTGGTCCCCTACCTGCCCAATGCTGTTGAGCAGGCTGGTGAGGCTGTATATAAACTTGCTCAGTCAGGTAGGAGTCTCTTTGGGGAAGGCTTCGTGGCTCAGAGTCTGGGTTCTCCTCCAGATCTAGAAATGCTTCATAGGGCTCCCCATAGATCCAGGGAAAAGAAGAGAGGAGCCATTGACCCAGCCCCCTTCCCTAGCACTGTGCTAAGTGTCAGAACTCTTCCTTGAGGAGTTCAACAAAATGGGATGTGAGTCTGAAGCAGATTCCACCCCAGAGATAGCAGCTTTGATTTAGGGTCAGAGAAATGTTCTCTAAACAAATGACCAAACCCGAGAGATGAGAGTGTGGTTGGATCTGGAGGTGGGCAAGAACGATGTGAAAGGAGACTGGGAGCAAGCAATTGGAGCTACAGAAGGTGGAAGCAAACCCAAGCAGCCCACACTCCCCACCCCTCAAGCCTGACCCAGAGGAAACTCTGAAACCAAGGTTGTGTGAGGTGGGGCTGAGAAGCTGGCTGAGAGGCAAACAGTGCAGGACAGCGTGAAGAGTTTGGCTTTGATCCCAGACACCAGAAAAATAGTAAAACTTTATAACAAGTGTACCATGACTTCTTTGACAGCCATGTTGGCCTAGTTGACATTGTCTTCCCTGTCTCCATGGCAGGATCGTGTCTGGGGAGAAAAGCAGCTAGCGCCCTAGAGACCGTTGAGACTGCCCTCGATCAGTACGACCTCTCCAAGCTGTGTGTGGGCTTCAACGGAGGCAAGGACTGCACCGCCCTCCTCCACCTCTTCCACGCAGCTGTGCAGAAGTAAGCCCACCCCGGGGGGCCAGGGCCCCCCACAAAACCTCTGCAGCTCTCCCTTGGAAGGGAGAAAGGGTGTAGAGGTGGGGCTTGTGAGAAAAGGCAGCTGAGTGGTCAGGCAGTGCCCATCCATCCCCTACCACAAGGAAGTCACAGTTCATTTGTGTAGGTGAGATTTACCAGAAATCATGACCTAGCACGGTAGCAGTCCTAGCAGGCAGGGGAGGGGATGTCACGATGCCTCAGCGGAGCTCAGGAACTGGGGGCTAGCCTAAGGAGTGTTTGTGTATGCACCTCATACAACCTTGGTCAGAAGAGCATTGGATCATCAGGGCATGGAGTTACAGATGGGTTGTGGGTCACTTATGGGTTCTGGGAATGGAACTTGGGTCCTTCACAAGAGCAACAAGTGCTTTGAATTGCTGGACTAACCCTTAAGCCCATGAGTTTTTTGTTTTTGTTTTATTGGGCTGTACATTTTACTCCCCTCCCTCCTACTTTCTCCCATGACCCCCACACTCCCAATTTACTCAGGAGGTCTCGTCTTTTTCTCCTCCTATGTAGATCCATGTATGTCTCTCTTAAGGTCCTGTTTTTATCTAGGTTTTCTGGGGTTAAACCTGAGTTTTTTAAAGCCCTATTTAAAAAAAAAAAATCAGCTGGGGGTGGTTTAATCACAACAGAGGCAGTGGAGATGCATTGCTATGATTTGAGGCTAACCTGGTCTATATAGTGAGTTCCCAGCCAATCAGTGAGACCCAGATGTTTTTATTGTTTTTATCTTAGAATAACAGAAATGATGTTTAGTTTGAGAGCAGAATGAGACAGACAGGCACCGTGGCACATTCCTGTAACCCCAGCCTCAGGATGCTAAACCAGGATTGCAAGTGTAAGGCCAGCTGCTACATAACGAATTACACCATAGCCTGGGCTACACAGCAAGACCTCTCTCAAAACAAAAGGATAAGAGATCAGAGTGGGGTCTAGAGGAAGTGGGTCTAGGTTTGCTGGAAGGACAGGGAGTGCCAGGTGGCAGTGATTCCTGCCTTTAATCCCAGTGCTCAGGAGGCAGAGGCAGGCAGATCTCTCTGAGTTCAAGGCCAAGGCCAGCCTGGTCAACAGAGTGAGTTCCAGAACAGCCAGGGCTACACAGAGAAATCCTGTCTCTAAAAAAAACTTAAAAGGGGGGGGGGGGGGCGTGGGTGTTTGTGATCCTAGGAGCCAAAGAGAATACTGAGAGCTCTCTGGAGAGCAGCTTTTCTGTCCACCCTAGCAAGTCTGTGGATGCTTACTTTCCCCAGGAGATTTCCTGATGTTCCAAAACCTCTCCAGATCCTGTACATCCGTAGCATCTCGACTTTCCCTGAGTTGGAACAGTTTCTACAAGACACCATCAAGAGGTATTGGGACCTGAAGTTTTGCATTCCATGGGGGCCTTGGCAGAACCTACCCTGATCCTAATCTCTGTTCTCTTCCTCCCTAAGGTATAACCTTCAGGTGTTTGAAGCTGAGGGTAACATGAAGCAAGCCCTGGCTGAGCTTCAGGAAAAACACTCCCAACTGGAGGCTGTCCTGATGGGCACCCGACGGACCGACCCCTACTCCTGTAGCCTCAGCCATTTCAGTCCCACTGACCCTGGCTGGCCTTCATTCATGCGCATCAACCCGCTGCTGGTAATGTGACGGGATTGTCTGCCTTGGGGTCCTGTACCTTTCCCTTGCCCACTGGGAAGAGGCTAGAGACCAGGGCTTTGTCTCCCAAGGGAGGCCGTGCTATTTGTTCATTCATCCTTTTGACTAATATTGAGCATTAATTCAGTAACTTGCATTGTGCTTTTCACTGTGGTCAAAGCAGTGACCTGGGCCTGTGCTAGCCAATATGATAGTAGTCATGTGTTCATACTTGAATTGAAATTGAAATGAAATATAGATTATGGGGCTGAGGATATGGATCATTTGCTATAGTGCTTGCCCAGCACACCTGAAAACCCCAAGGCCAGAGACGAACGTCCCTTTGATGGTCTGTCCCCAGGATGGCAGTGGTGGGCATGGTGAGGACTCTAGTGACTTGTCTGTCATTTATAGGACTGGACCTACAGAGACATCTGGGATTTTCTGCGCCAGCTGTTTGTCCCATACTGTGTCCTGTATGACCGAGGGTAAGGTTGTTGGGTGGGGTGCGGGGAGGATGCTAGGATAAGAACCCACCTTATCATACACATGCTCCTGTTTCAATACTCCAGGTACACATCACTGGGGAGTCAGGAGAACACAGTGCAGAACCCAGCCCTGAAGTGCCTGAGCCCAGGAGGGCACCCCATCTACCGTCCAGCGTACCTACTAGAGAACGAAGATGAGGAAAGGAACTCCCGCATGTGACTTTACACAGACTGGGACAGGACACAGGGAAGGGACTGGCAGGGGATAACCTGTCACGGCAGTAAATCGTACCTCCCAGACCGTTGTTGGTGCCTGTTGCTCTGGCCGCGCCTTCCTCCTTCAAAGTCAAGGGAAGCATAAGTGAACCAAGGTTGCCAGCTCTGAACTGGCAGTGCTCACTCGGGTCCAGAGTGGGCTAGAACATACCAGAAAGGAGCTAATAGGGATGATTCTTAGTGCCAGCCTTAGCCAGAGCCACCAAATGGGAACCGGCAGCCAGACCGAGGATACCACCCACTGGGAGTAGGAAACCAGGCAGAGGACTGCCTGCACAGAAGGGAATCAAGCTCTCCTGGCTGTGGAGGATGGAAGATGGAATAGCCAAGCCCTCCCTTCTAACAACCATCACCCCTGTCTGTAGGGCTGACTCAGCCTGTTCCAAGGCCCAGAACCATCTTTTGCTAGACCCCAGAGCCTTTATCCTTAGTCATGAGGCCTGAGGGGGTGGGGACAGTGGATAAAAGGCCCCAAAGGCAGCACCACACCCTTCCACTGGGCTGCTGTTCACATGAAGCCACCAGTGCAACCCCTAACCCAGGCCCTGCCCTCCTCCCTGGGAAATGTCCTTCGAGGCACCGGTCTCCAGGTGCCTGTGATTAAGATGGGCACAGGGTGGGAGGGCTTATGGCGAACTCTGAAGGAAGTAGCCTACATCCTCCTCTGTTGCTGGTGTATCAAGGAATTACTGGACTAGCGGTGGCAGGGAGCACCTCCTGTCACCCCTGACACCAAGACCTGCATCACTCAGGTGGGGCAGGGAGGGCAGACGTCAGGGGGTGTGGCTGCAGCTTCTATGGCGGAACCTGCAGCCCAGCTGTCCCATGTTTTCTTTAGGACTTCTGGAGCCAGCTGGCCTTCACCAAGGATGGGCCACCAGCACGTGGAGAGTGAAATATGAACCCCGCCTCATCCTGGGGCACCCATTCCCAGCTCCCGTCTCTGCCCGTCTGGTAGGCACGAACTTGGCTTGCTGGCTAAGACTCCAATGAGACTGCAGCCTCCAAAATGGGTACAATGAGCCCACCAACCCAGATGATTGCTCTTACCATGTACTTGAAGAACCAGGAATGAACCGCCCCTAAGATCTCTGGTAATCCTGAACTACACATAAAATAAATGGGCCCTTGAGGCCAAAAATTCTAAATATCTAAAGGGGAGTGAGGAATGTGTGTCTGGAAAGGGCTTTAGAGCCAGAGTGCAGACCAAGGAAGAAGGATAGATCTCTGGAGAATTGATACAAAAACAAGCAAACAAACAAAAACCAGGTTTGCTGACTCTGGTGCTGGGATAGAAGATTGGAACAGAAAACCAGGTTCCTCCTGGCCCGTGTAGAGCAGAACAGAATGAGCCTTATTCTGTGAGTCCCAGGGTACTAGGATGGGCATCCAAAAGACTCAGCCTTTTTCCAAATAGGAGATGTGACCTAGGAAGGTCCCTGTCTCTAGGGAACATGGGGCCCAGATTGTGGAAGGTGTCCCGGTTCACACACAGCTATGAGAGAAAACATCCGTGTATTCACACCAGCCCTTCGGGCCTATCGCAGCACACCTGTCCGGAGTGAGTACACCAACCCTCTCTTTCTCCTAGCAACATCAACAGTTCGTGTGCGTGTTTATTAGATTGTTCACACGGATCACCTCACCTACGCCCCCTTTATCTCTGAGCACCCTGGCCTGTCCCTGCCCACCTCTTTTGTACCTGCAACACCGACCTGGAGGTAGTATTTAGTTCCCCTCTCCCTCCCTGGGACCAGCTCTTCTTTAGTCTTTTTCTTAGTCAACTCTTTTTTCTCTGGGCCTTTTGGGTTTTGTTTATTGTTGGTTGTCTGGTTGGTTGTCTGGGGGTTAGGGACTGAACCCAGGGCTTTGCACTTACTAAATATGCTATCCCAAACCCAGATTTTTGTTGTCATACAGATACTATGAACTAGTTGTGGTGGCACGCACCTTTAATCCCAGCACTTGGGAGGCAGCGGCAGGCAGATTTTGAGACCAACCTGATCTCCACAGAAAGTTCTAGGCCAGCCAGGAACAAGTAAATACATAAATAGACACTTTTGTTTGTTTGCTTGCTTGCTTTTTAAAATGGGTTTCTCTGTCCTGGCTGTCCTGGAACTCACTCTGTAGACCAGGCTGGCTTGGAACTCACAGAGATCCACTTGCCTCTGCCTTCCAAGTACTAGGATTAACGGCGTGATCCACCATGCCCAGCATAAATACTTTGTAAAGAAATACTCATCATGCCATGGAGGTGCTCGCCTTTAATCCCAGCACTTGGGAGGCAGAGGCAGGTGGATTTCTCTTGAGTTTCAGGCCAGCCTGGTCTACAGAGTGAGTTCTAGGACAGCCAGGACTGTTACAAAAAGAAACCCTATCTCGAAACCACCCTCCAAGAAAGAAAGGAAGAAATAAGTATCACTAGTACATCACCATCCTGGCTGTATACTTCCAAGTTACCCATGGCTACATGGGAAATCTATCTCAAAAAAAAATTTTTTTGAGATATAGTTAGCACTGGAATGCTGCTTACCTAACTTGTCTAGGCTCTGTAATCCCCAGCAAGGTGTGTGTGTGTGTGTCAAGGTAGGTGTGTGTGAATGTGTGTCAAGGAGTAAGAGTGAAAGTAAGAAAAGGAGAAAGCCCAGAGGCAAAGGTAGAAGGTTAATTTAAGAAAAGCTGTCAAGAAACAAGCCAAGCTAAGGTCAGGCATTTCTAAGTAATAATAAGACTCCGTGTTGTGTGATTTATTTGGGAGGTGGGTGGCAGGCCCACCAAAAGAATAAAGAGTAAAAAAATCCCACCACCACTATCCACCACTATCCCCCTGCCTTAGCCTCCTGATCCACCACGACTGGCTTTTGACCTGGCGTGTTTACTCTGGTTGGTTGACATACTATACACAGTGCTCTGCACATTACCCTTTTAAATCTGTATTTGTTGAATTTTATGTGTGTTGCTGTTTTGTCCACATGCTGTTTTGTCTGTATGAGGGTGTCAGCTCCCCTGAAACTGTAGTTATAGACAATTGTGAGCTGCCATATGGTTGCTGAAATTGAACCTGGGTCCTCTGGAAGAGTGCTCTTAACCGCCGAGCCATCTCTGCAGCCCTGGACCTTACCTTTCCTGCCTGAGCTGTATACAGGACATGGAACAGTACATTTAGCGCTTCCTTTTTCTTTCTAAAACTTCACAATGCTGGGATTACAGATGCATGCTTTTTCCCCTTTCTCTTTTTCAAAAAGAAGATCATTTACTAGTTCGCTGTGGGGCCAGAGCGCCAGAGCGAGTGCAGCAGTAAGAGAAGTGCCTGCTGCAATGCTGCAATAGGCCTAGAACTCACTAGATCTGCCTGTCTCTGCCCCCTCCCCCAAGCCCTGAGATCAAAGGCCACTGGCCCATGGTGACACAAGTCATGATTGTTTCAGCCTTTTCTTTCTTTGATTGTTGAGTCCTAGCTGCCTTCAAATTTGTAGCAATCCTCCTGCCTCAGCCTCCCCAGTCCTGGGATTAGAAGGATAAACCACCATATCTGCTCAGTATCCTTCCAAATAACCAAAACTGCAGGACAGAACTGCCACCTGGCTCCTGAACCCTCCTCTTGCCCACCCCCACCCCCCCAGCACTGCAGAAGGAATAAGGGAGGTCTGAGGCTGCTGGTAGAAAGTCCACCTTCCCACTGTGTGGAGGGGGAGGGGGCGGCACTGGCGCTTCTCCTTCCTCTAGAGTCTGCATTCTGCCTGGCCAGCTCCTCTTTTCCCTAATTCAGCCTTGGCCCACTGCCTTTTTTACCTCTAAATCGTACTTGAATTAAGTGGAGCAGTGCCTGGAAGTGGACCCCAGAGTCTGAGGTCTGAGCGCAGAGGCTTTTGCCAGAGGAGAGGATGCTTGGCGAAGACAGCTAGGGAAGCGGTGGCTAGAGACAGCAGAGGCCAGGGTTGGCGCGCACGGTGGTGGGATAGATAGTGGGAGCTGGTGGAAGGGAAAGAATGAAGAGTGCCGGGGAGGCCCAACAGCGGGAAGACAGGTCACACGGTCTGGAGCCCCCTTCCAGAGGATGTGATGCTTAGACTCTTCTCAAAGATGGCTACTTTAAGCTGGGTGTGGTGGGTCATGTTTATAATCCAGTGCCTGGGGGTGAAAACGAAAGGATTACCTCCAGTTTGGGGCTAGCATGGGCTACGCAGTAAGTTTAAAACCAGCCTGGCCTAAAGAAAGAGTGACCCACCGTGTCTCAAACAAGACCAAAATGATTGGTTTTTCAAGACAGTGTTTCTCTGGATAGCCCCAGCTGCTGTCCTGGAACTTACTCTGTAGACCAGGCTGGCCTTCAACACAGAGAGCCACCTGTCTCTGTCTCCTGAGTACTGGAATTGAAGGTGTGTGCCACCACTGCCCAGATGACAAAAAACAAAAACATTTTTTAAACAAAAACCTCACTGTGTAGCTTTTCCAGCCTGGAACTTACTGTGTAGATGAGATTGGCCTCAAAGTCATATAAATCTGCCTGTCTTTCCCAAGTGCCTGGCTCACGTATTTTTTTTTTTTTTAAAGAATACTTTGGGGCTGGCAAGATGACTCAGGGGATAAAGGTACTTGCTGTCAAGCTTGGTCAACTCAGTCCCCTGGGCCCACATGATGAAAGGACAGAGCCAGCTCCTGCAAGCTGTCCTCTGACCTCCATACTCGTGTGTCTGTGTGCTCAGGAGCAAAAGTACACCAAAGCAACAGGCAGGCTCGAGTGTGCTGGTGAAACCCTATCTCAGAACCAAGCAACAGACAAAACGTGCACACCTACGTACACAGCAAAAGTAGGCAACATAACAAAAGTAATTATATCACATTAATTTGAAGAAGCAGGCCCAAAGAGGTGAAGTGATTTATCCCAAAGTCAGAGGACAAGGCTCTTTGCTCGGTGAACCCACATTTTCAGATCTCAACTTTTTGGCTTGCCAGGCTGGTAGCACACATCTGTTTCCCCCACCTGTTCTGGAGGCTGACTCTGGAGGTGATTGATCCTAGGAGTTAGAGAACAACATGGGCAATATAGTAAGACTCCTGTCTAAATAAAAAGAAAACAATCAAAACTAGGGTTCCTCATGAGTCTGTCTTCTCTTCTGATAGAAATGGCTTAATTGCCTTGGAGGGAGAGCCCTGCAAGTGTGGAGGCAACTCCCTAAACTAAACCTGTTTCCCCGTACAAGCTCACTGTGTCCTTGGCTCCTTGGATCCACTTTTTTGTTTTTGTTGTTGTTTTTGTTTATCGAGACAGGGTTTCTGTTTGGAGCCTGTCCTGGAACTCTCTCTGTAAACCAGGCTTGCCTCGAACTCAGAGATCTGCCTGCCTCTGCCTCCTGAGTTCTGGTATTAAAGGTTGCACCACCACCGCCCAGCGCTAAATACCTTTTGTTTAACCATCCAGACTAGTTTTCCTGATCAACAATGTCCCCATTCTTCTAAGAGGGAAAAGGAAATATGGCAACTTCACCCAATGCTCTCTCCCAAAAAGAGTTGCTTACAAGCTGTTGCTTCAGGAGCTCATGCCAGGAATAAGGTGGGCAGGGGAACAAGATACCAACACAGAAAGCGGAGGTGCAGGCTACCCCTGGGCCCCAAGGCTTAGGGGAATAGTTGGGGTTGAAATGGAACAGACTAGACCAACAAGCTAAAAGTGACCTTCGAGTATCCCAGCAAGAGAAAAGCTTTTCTGTAGATTACATCACATTTGGATCCTTGGCTGGAATGGAGACAGAGGTGGGGACGGGACACAGAAGTAAGAAAGGGATCACAATAAAATGAGTTTGAGGGCTGATGGGGCCACAGTCCCACATTTTCACAGCAGACGGAGGAGAGACACTGGTGCGGAGAAGCTGGCAATTGTGAAGGCACCACGGCACTAACACCCTCCCCACAAGGAACGACTTTGTATTTTGTTTACATATGAATTTCTCCTTCCATATGCAGAAGCCCCCCGAACTCGTTCGTTTCTAGGTGGCTTTCGGACTCCAGAGTCTTCCATCCTCCCGAAGTTTCAAATCTGGAACCATCCACAGCCCCTTAGCCACACCGGCGGGCCTTAAGGACCGCTACCCTACACCCCTAGCTAGCTGAGATTTAGGAGCTTTTGCGCCACCTGGTGGCGAGTAGGAAGCAGGCTGCGCGCCGAGGGGTTCTGTTTTGCCGGCTCTGGGACGCAGAGTTTTGGAAAACGTTCCCCGGAGCTTCCTGAAGCTATATTTACCACCCCCAGCCCTGGGGGGCACAGAGATCCCAGCGGCGATTAGCACAGCGCTGCAGCGGGCTCCAGCCGAGAGGCCCAGAATAGGCGCGCAGTTATAAATAGTGCTACCCGCAGGTGTGGGGGGGAGTCGGCGGGAGGGAGTACCCCCGGCAGCCACCGCCCCTTTAGGTGGGTTGGGCGGTCGCGGTAGGGGTTCTGGGGGGCGGCAGCAGGGAGGGGGCTGCGGTCTGAGCGCCCCCAGCGGTTTCCTGGGCGGCGGGTTTTTCGAGGGAAGCGGAGGCAGCCGCGGGCAAGGGGTGGGGGGAGCAGAGCATAGGTGGGCGCCTGGGTGCAGGCGGCGGAGCTCCTTTCAGCTCAGCACCCCCACAACCAGAAACGGGCCCCCAGACTCACTTTAGGACCCCAAAGAGAACCTCGCCTCCAGCAGCCAACTGCACTCTTTCTCCAGTACTCTACAAGCCCTGTAACTGCTCAGCAACCACTCTTCGGTGTACTTGGACCAGCCAGTCTCGTAACCAGGTCGCCACTCAGAGTCGCTGTCCCCAGCCTTAGGTATAAAGTCCTTCTTGCTAGGGCTTTTATCCTTCTCAGGACAAACAGCTCACTCTCGGGGTATTTCCTCACCTATTTTCCTCATACATTAAAGTCTAGAATCTAGAAAGTTGCCTGAAGATTTAAGCCTGAGCGTGAAGGAGGGGGCGCTCACCAGGGGCCGCTGAAGGCCCCACACTTGCCTTCCAGTTCCCAGAACCAGTTCAGATGTATAAAAGATCGGAATGGGGGGGGGGGAGGTTGACAGGCTCTCTGTAAGGGGCCGGGGGTCCCACCAGCGCTTTAAGGTCTTTTCTGTCTACGGTTTGGCAGTTAGGACCCAAAGTTGGATAGTAGGCAGGAATTTAAAAGTCGCCCCCCCCAACATGAAAGGGAACTATACCACAAGAAAAAGGAAAACCTGGAAAAGAGCCACTGAGGAGCTAACAGTAGATTTCCAGGACTGCTGAAGAGGACAAGCCGCAAAAGATCGGGTTGTGTCGAGTCAGACGCAACTCCAGCGGGACGGCAGGTGTGTCTCGGTTCCCAAGGAGCTAGTGACCAGACCTTCGCCTTGCCTTTCTGGAGTCCTGGGCCACTTTTCTACCCTCCCCCAAATCCTTTTCCTAGATCTTTGTACCCTTCTCGTGAAAGCAAACACCCTTTTTTTACTTAGGCAAATCGAGCGCTACTGCCTTGCCCCGGGCTCGGCCCGTTCCTTGGTCAGCGAGACCCTGACAGCGAGGAAGGGAAAAAACCCAGTACGGACACTTCTTGCTCGGAATCCTCCAGACTGGAAACACCAGGAGCTAAGAAAACCCGGAGCAAAGATCAGACTGGACCCAGGGCGGGGTGGGGGGGACGATAGGAAAACCCGGAACGGATTACTCGAGTCAGAGCTCCCCATGCCTACTGCTAGCCGCTGGTCCCTATTGCCCCCTAATTCTCCAGTGAGATAATGTCTGGGATGGGGGGCTGTTTGGTTTGGCCTCGGCCCTCCGGGGCGCCTCACACTTTCCGCCCCTGGCTGAGGGGCAGAGCGGCAGCCTCTAGGCTGAGTCACGTAAGGGGGAGAAGGAGAAAGAGGGAGGGAAGGACCGACTCCGCCCCTCCCCCTGCTCGGGGATCCCGGGTCAGCCCGGGTGAGAGCCAGGGCCCCCCTGGCGCCGCCCATTGTGGTCCAACAGGTTGAGCTGGTGTCCTGCGGAGCCACCTGCTGGAAAGGGAGGGAGGCCCTTTGCGGAGGGGGCTGGGAAGGAAGGACAGGTCCGACCCGGTTCGGCCTGGCCTGCTGCTGCGAAGCCGAACCTGGCCCTAGAGAGCGGGATTTGATTCCGTTTGAAAGCAGTGGGAGGGGCCCTTTTGGGGTACGTAGCACCGCCGGCCCAGTTGGAGGCTACCTTTCTCTGTTGGTCGGGCACTGAAATAAGAACGCTGGTCCTTCCCAAATACACACAAGCAGACATCCTAAGACACTCAGGCCTCGGTCGCCACCAGGGTGTCACAGTCAAGACGTCCCTCCGCGGTGGGGTTCTGTTCCTCCACTAAAGAACAGGCGGGATGAAGGGAAAGAGCCGGAGCCTGGGAGGGAGCGCACCTCCCCCTTCCCCTTCCCAGACTCAGTCCCTCCCCTCTGAAAATGCCAAGGCAGCAACGGGCACTGGCTAGAGCGCAGAGGCTCCTTGCCCCGGGCACCGTTCCCTCCCCGCGGGGCGCCGACACGCGTGGGGAGGGACGCAGAGTGCCGGCCGCCTCAACTCCCCCGCTCCCTGTGTGGGGGATGGGCCCGGGGGCCGCAGCTGAACGTCCAGTGGCCTTCTCCCCTTCGCCCCTGGGGCTCTGACCTGATTAAAGCCCCTGGCGGGACCCCACTCCTTCCCCACGCAGCCTAACTGTAACATGTTCTGCCCTTCCCTCCGCAGGTGCCGAACCCACAGAAGCCCCTGTCGAAGGAGAGGAAGTCCCTGAGGGGTTGCTCCGTTCCCTGGCCACTGCGGACACTGTCTTCGGCCTCCCTCCCCTTCTGGTCTTTGGCCAACCTCAAGCTCCACCCACTCCCTGGATGAACCCTAGGCGCGTCCCAAATGGGATAGGCGGGTGTTCAGGCCAATGGGCGGGCAGGGCGGTGGCGTGCAGGGGGTGGAGCTGGCCAGCAGCAGAGGGCTGGACGGGGGTCGGAGGCGGAGCTCCAGTTAAGGTGGACTGGAGGAAATAGTGGTAGAAAGCAGAGAGGGAGAGGGATCGCGGCAGGTGAAGGGAGATAGAAGGAAAGAAGGGAAAGGAAAAGGGTGGGAAAAGCTCTGGGAGCGAAGTAAGAGCTCGGAGGAAGGGGGCGAAAAGGAGGGAGGGATCCATATGCTCTCTGCTGGAACTAGCTGTTGGAAGAGGTGGAAGTTTATGTCCTTATTGGGCGGAGGGAGGGGGTGCCTGGGGGGGGCGGATGAAAAACCAGGAAGTGACAGAGGGTGTTGCTAAGGGTGGGGGGGGAGTTTGGGGGTGGCAGGGGCGGGGGGAGGGAGGGGAGGGATGGGGGGAAAGCAAGCGGGAGGACAGGTGAGACAGCAGGACAGGTGAGGCGGGCCCTGGGGGGGGCGGGTGGGAGCCAGGTGAATGTACGGCTCTCCGCGGCCAAGGGGGGGCGGGCAGCAGGAGGAGGCAAAGGGTGGCGGAGGAGGAGCCCCCCAGCAACGAGCGGCGAGCCACTGACCGCGGCCTTCTGACCAGGACCGGAGCAGGGCCCCAAGCCCCCGGGCCTGGCGGGGGACGCGCTTCTTCCCACACTCTGCATCTGCAGCCCCAGCGAGAGGACCCGACGGCTGAGAGGTAAGTGAACCCTACTTTTTGTCCCTTGGCTCGGGGTCCACTAGACTCGAGCGTACTGCAGTGTCCTTCGTGCGTCCTGTGAGACCCCTGTACACACACACACCAGATTTCAAACAGTCGCATTCCCTATAGCTTTCCTAGGTCTTTGGAATTGGTTTTTAACTTGGAGGAAAGGTAGAGAACTACAGCCTCCCCCCAACTCTGGGCGGAGGGTCTCCAGAAACTTTCTTTGCACTTCTAACATCAGACAGACTGTGAGCTACGGGATGGAGAGGGGGTGAGCTGCGCTGAACTTCTCCCAGTCGCCTCCGTGACTTTAGGGGGAAGACCCCAAGCCCGACCGAACGGAGGGAATGGAAACGCTGACGGACTCTAACTAGGACAACTCGTGCCCCCCCCCCCCCCCTCCGCGCCCCCCTGGCGCGGTGGGCTGGACCCAGGCCAGTGGCATGGGAGCTGGGGGGCGGCGGGAGGAACCGCGACTCGGGGGGAAAGTTACCGGCTGGACTATTCGGTTTCTTGCGCTTCCAGAGCCGCGTCGTCTCTCCAGCGGTAGTGCGGCTCGGCAGAACGACCCCTCTGCCCCTCCCGCTCCGCAATCACATTCCCTTCTCTCAAGCTGCAGCCCCACCGCCACCTTTTCAAAGTCAGCCTTTGCTCTCACAACTCCTCCAGCTCGCGGGTGGGTGATAAGAACTCTACCTACCACCGTTTTGCCGCCGGCGCCGGCGCACCTGCCCTAACCAGAGCGGGGGTCGCCGTGTGGTAGAAACCTAGCGCGCGCCGCTGGCAGAGGGTGGCCATTCAAAGGGGTGGGGGGCGCTGCTTTCCATTCCCAGCTTTCTCTCCCCTCCTCCCACCCCACCCAAGTAAGAGAGCGACGTGTCCTGGCCAGAGCGAGGGGGGGTGGGAGTGGGGGGGCAGCGTGGGCAGCGGGTTGTGCCCGGACACGTGCCTGCCCAGGCGCCCCGGCCCTGCTAGTGTTTGGAGAGAGGGCGGGTCCCCTGCCCCCCGCCCCGCACATCCCCCATGTATCAAAGGGCGGCTGAGACGTGGTGAGACCTCGGGGCGCCCTGGGGGGCGGGGGGTAAGGCGGGGAGCCTGGGTCCGGAGCAGGGGAGGGGCAGAGGCGCCGGTGCTAGCTGACCCACAGGAAACGAGCACTGCTGACCTAGTTTGGGACACCGGAAGTGGGTGCTGGGGAGAGGGGGAGACCGGCAAGCTGTCCTGGCTTCCGGGCCAGGTGGAGGGCGTTCTTGAATTGACCCCCGCCCGAATGCTTTGGAGACCCCTAGCTGCAGCTGAGAATGGGAATGAGTCAGCGCAGCTATTTCTTCTTGCCCCAACTTATTCCTAGAGAAGGGGACCGTTTATCAAGGGTTGGGGGAGCCAGATTGGGAAGTGAGGAGTTAAACCAAGATAGGAACTCTCTGTTCCCCAAGGGAGTGTGTGTTTGGGGGGGGGCGCTAAGGCCTGGAGGATTATGGGGTTGCGTTTTGCTACCCCACACACACCAACTGGTTTGGTCACCCCTGTACCCTCCTGGCACTGTTTATAGAGCTGGCATGGAGTGGACATTAGATTGGGAAGAGATACTGGGCATAAGTATTGTGCTGGGCTGGAGAAGGGCATATTTGTGACTGGGTTTGGATGGTAGTTAGTTTTCCTCAGTGGCAACTGGGGAGAAGGACAGGGGGCTCCCCCTGGAGCAGCTGATGAAACAGGGAGAAATCTCTGCCAGTGCTTCTTGTCCCTGGCCCCCGGGACCCCAGCTCCCCCAGCGTGCCTCTGTTACATGGTTGCTGTAGGCACGCTGCTGCCTGCTGACACCCCCAGACACTGTCCCCTCCCTTGGGCACCCCCCCAGCCTGGGGTCAGGAAGGGGTTAATATTGCCAGAAAGGGGCTCTGGGGAAGAAAGCAGTGCCCACTAGGCTCAGGTGAAGAAGACAAGCCTGCTCTAATGGGCCCTTCTCACCGCTACTCAATCCAGGTGATATGGCCCCAGTGTCCGGGAGACAGGTGCTGCCCTCTTCCCCTTCCCCATGGTGCTCCCTGGCACCCACCGCCCCCAGCTCCTCCTTGGCCTAGTGCCTGCCCCAGGAGGGCGCGGCGGGCAGCGGGGGCTGGGCTAACAATGCACCATCGGGCCCTTTGTGTGCTTGCACTTGGCACCCTGGGGAAGAGTGGGGGAGGGGACCCAGCAGGCAGGGGGGGTGGAGCACCTCTGGGGTGGGGACAGTGAAGGCTTGGGGAGAGAAGCCGAGAGTGAAAACAGGTGGGGAGGAAAGGGAAGTAGGTCAGATAGAGTGCTGGCCCCCCATTCCAGGCCAAGGGTAAGATGAATGAGATCCTGCATGGCATCATGTTGGTACCCGAGGCCCAACCCAGGAGTGGACATTGGGGTCAGAAGTTACTAGCCCTACAGACTGCTCAGGTATAGGAGGCAAGGCCCTCTTCTAGATGGCTGAGAGGCCCAGTTCTTTTGGCACAAGGCCAAGGACCTGAGATGGGGAATAAATGGGCTCCAGGCAGGGCAGTGCCCTCTGATAGAAGCCTCTGGGCCTGCTTCAGGGCTTCCTGCCTCCAGCTTGCTTGGCTCTCTGACCTTCCTGAGAGTTAAGACAGCCCTGCCACCAGGCCTTGGGGCTTGTGCCTGTTTTGGCCTAGGGCTGAAAGGAGGGTGGGGGAGGAAGGTGGAGACAGGCAGATGGATAGGACCCTGGCATGGGGTGTGCCTGCTCTGGCCTCTCCCCCTCCTGCTGAGTAAACTCGTGAGTAAACTTGACGTTTTGCCCGGACAGTTTGAAGTTGCCTTGCTGCCCCCCCCTCCAGTCCTGCCAACACAGAAGCGGCCAGGTGCCAATGCAGGCCTGGGGGACTGGGGAGAAGGGGACAGAATGACTTGGGTCCACCACCATTAAGGACTGGAAGACCAAGAAAGACCCCACTACCACCACTTAGCCAAGCTCAGGCCTTGGCAGTAATCTTGAGGCCTGTCAGTATTTGTCACAGAACTTTGGGACACTCAGGAAAAAAAAGTGTCTTCAAAGCCCTTCTCTTGCCCATCTCAACCAGGGAAAGATCCCAGTGGTCGCCTGGCTCCCAGAGGCCATAGTTTATGCCGATAGGTCACTAGTCCAGGAGGAAATCTTTAGCAAATGCCTCAGTGAGGCCAGAGAAGGCTTCCCTCTTCTGGCCCATAGCCTGAGACGGGTGGAAGCAGGTGGCACAGGGACATTAGCTCACTCCTCCCTGAGGCTTCTGGCTGCTGTGGTCTCGGTCCTGCCATTGCGCTGACCTCACACCTGGGCCTTCCCCGCAGCTGCCTTCACTGTACTTGCCATGAGGCCCAACCCCTCTCCTAGCTTTCCTAGGACTATCGGGGCTTCCTAACCAGCAAATGCTATAGCACATCCAGAGTTTGAGGGTGCCCTTGGCAAAAGAGGGCTGTGACAGAAAAATGGAGCTAACACCCCCCCCACACACACACACCAGGTTAATTCAATACCACTGAACATCACTAATTCCTCTTCTGCCTTCCCAGGTCACCAGAATGGCAGGAGAAATGTCTTCCCAGTCTATGCCACGCCTCAGAGTGGGGCTCCCCCAAGAACTTGCTTTCGACTTCATGTCTCTGGCTTCAATTTCCTTCCTGTTTCCACCCCCCCCCAGCTCCTCCCCACCCATATGCCCCTTTCAACAGACATCCTCTCGACCTTCCTTCCTTCTTTCTTCCCCCTTTGCCTGGAATAAGGGGGTCTTCTCTCCCCACCATGAATCTCCTAGCCTGTTTTACTCTTAAATAGTATTGCCCTTGGAGAGGTCCATGACCATTCTCTCCCTAACCTACCCACTAAGCTCTTGGGAAGAGAACCCAGGGCCCCTTAAGGGAACTACAACTCCCAAGGTACGTGTAAAACAGTTGTGGTGCACACTGGGAGTTGTAGTCCTCTTTGAGCTCTCAATTTGGTTGAGTCTGAAAGTGTTTCTGGGTAAGGGTAAAGTCGGTACTGGGATGGGTTGCAATGTAGAGACCCCACTGTGTTCTCCTTACTGTGTTCTTACCTTTACATTCCCATATAACACCACGTATTGACATGCACCTCTCATGCTAAGACATACTACCCATCCTCACCTTAGGATGAGCCCCACCCAGGAGATGCCCACACCCTGCCCTGATGCCCCTGGCAGGGGAAATGAGGGGCCCCATGAACTCCTCCTTTGCCCCCCTGCCCTCCAGGCTAGTT